CCACCCCCACTCAAGCACCACCACACCTCACTCAAGCACCACCACACCTCACTCAAGCACCACCACATTCCACTCATGCGCCAACACACAGCACTCAAGCACCACCACACCCCACTCAAGCACCACCACACCCCACTCAAGCACCACCACACCTCACTCAAGCACCACCACACCTCACTCAAGCACCACTACATTCCACTCAAGCACCATCACACCCCACTCAAGCGCCACCACATTCCACTCAAGCACCACCACATTCCACTCAAGCACCACCACACCCCACTCAAGCGCCACCACATTCCACTCAAGCACCACCACACCCCACTCAAGCGCCACCACACCGCACTCAAGCACCACCACACCTCACTCAAACACCATCACATTCCACTCAAGCACCATCACACCCCACTCAAGCGCCACCACATTCCACTCAAGCACCACCACATTCCACTCAAGCACCACCACACCCCACTCAAGCGCCACCACATTCCACTCAAGCACCACCACACCCCACTCAAGCGCCACCACATTCCACTCAAGCACCACCACACCCCACTCAAGCGCCACCACATTCCACTCAAGCACCACCACACCCCACTCAAGCACCACCACATTCCACTCAAGCACCACCACACCCCACTCAAGCGCCACCACATTCCACTCAAGCACCACCACACCCCACTCAAGCGCCACCACATTCCACTCAAGCACCACCACACCCCACTCAAGCACCACCACACCTCACTCAAGCACCACCACACCTCACTCAAGCACCACCACATTCCACTCATGCGCCAACACACACCACTCATGTTTCTCCACACATCACACATAAACTTTCACACATCCCAGGTAGTGGTCCTATTCAGCTCTGGCAATTTTTATTGGAACTTCTGATGGATGCAACGTGTCAGAATTTCATCTGCTGGACAGGTGATGGGTGGGAATTCAAATTGACCGACCCAGACGAGGTGGCCAAAAAATGGGGCGCCAGAAAGAACAAACCAAAAATGAACTACGAAAAACTGAGCAGAGGCTTGCGTTATTATTATGACAAAAATATCATACATAAAACATCTGGCAAGAGGTATGTGTACAGGTTTGTGTGTGACATGGAGGGGCTGTTGGGTGGGTGTACACCAGGTAGACTCTTCCAAATTTACGGATTGACACCTCAGAGTGATAAGGAGGGAGGAGAAATGTGACTGGCAGGTAGAAGGCAGGATGGAAACGATCGTAATAAAAGCCAAATAGGGACTTCTTTTTGGAACATTTTAACTTCTGGAGTTTATTAAAAATAGATTTTTAATATTAAGTTCGGACTTGCGGTATAACAGAAGAGCTTTTTCTCGTAGAAATAAAATACATCGCATTTACTGATTTATAATGTGAAATAAAACTGAACCAGTAAAATAAACAATGAAAAAACTTATTAATATGGAAGTTTAAAAAATCAAATTAAACCTACTCAACCTATCTGACCGTTCAGAGCAAACTTTTTTGAAATTTTGCATGATCACAAAAAGTCTAATTATTTTACATTTTGAATATTTTAAAATATTTTTCTATTAATTTTATTTCATTGAAAAAATGAAATTAAGTGGATTTAGGTGCTACATTTTCTAAAAATGTCAACATAATTAATTACACAGCATAACTTTTTTATTTTAACAGAACACAACTCATGTAACTTGGCAATAAATTTTTTACGTGTAATTATAAGCGATATTTATGCATTCTTATGCAACTATATAGTTTAATTTTGACAAATGTTATCTTATAATCCATTCCAAAGTTTAAGTGCCTCATATTTTTAACAGCATTTTTTGATTAAATTGAATGAAAATGCCTTAACAAATTGAATTGTTATACTACCGTACAATGTACTCGCGTTCTACCTTATGTTATTTTATTGTTTCTAAACAATACTTTTATTCGCCATGTACATTTTCATCATGTATCGTTTTTAAGGACTATGTTAATAGATGCATTCATTTTTTAAAGTATTTTTTGTTACTTGTGAATCCTTGAAATAAATATTGTGTTAATGTGAAAAAGCGCGTTTTTTTGTTGTAAAGTTTAAGGACATTATTACGACCAGAAATGGCCTAAATACAAGTTGAACAAATTCCAATAACATCCTAGTGGAAAAACCTACGGAAAACGTTTGCATCTAAAAGTGCAACATAATTAAATTATTTTAAAAAATTGTTTAAATAGCAAAATTGATGTGAAAACTATTTCTAACATTCGCTATTAAAATACAATGGTCAACAGCTTGAATGGTCGGTTGAGATTTGTCTTAAACAGTGGCGTTTTTCATTATGTTTTAACCATGGATATATATAATATGGATATGGCAGACGCGTTATATATATAACATTGTTCCTATATATTTAACATCAAGGTCAATCTAACAAATATTTTTGTAAAGTGAATTTAAATTAAAGTAAACAATCAGTTTTAGCCGGTTATTAAGCGATTATCGTTCTAGTTGCTTTTTTTGTCCATTTATTGACAATTAATTAAAAAATTTGTTTATAGTAAGACGTTTGATAGTAAAATAATCAATATAATGTCAATTACTATAAAAAAAATGTTTAATTTTTACGCGTTTAAACTTTAATTCCATAGAACTATGAAAAATGTTTAGGCAGGTTAAAATTATTATGCCATATCCATTATATTCATGGTTTTAACACATAAAAATAAAGTAAATTTACTAAGATAAACTATAAGATAATATGATAAAATTATGATGCAAAAAATAAAAACCTGAAGTCGAAGTTGGGAGTCGGAGTTGGAAATTTTTGCCCGGAATCTTATTTTTTTGAGTGGCCGAGTCGGATATTTTTCATCAGACACTGACACACCGGTTGACACAAGGAAAGTTAGGATGAACAATTCTTGATAACTCAAATGTGGTAAAAACTAATTGAAAAGAAAGTCACTGAAATGATTTATAATATTACCGCAAAAAATTAACAAAAAGTTTTAAAAGGGACATTATGGTAGTCTTATAAAAATCTAAAAAGAAGTCAAATCAGTTATAACTTTTCTAAAAGATAAATCATTTTAATTAAAATCAACTTAAAAACTAGAAAAAGGAATGCAAAAAAATAATCACAAATTTTATGTTAGCAGGGCCCTGCCGTTGTTAGCCGAAACGGACGCAAGTTTACACACATACTGATACTGGGATCCTCACCTCAAAATTTGTTATTATTTTGTGTTTTCCGGACTCAACTATTTATTTGAATAAACGAGTATCAGAGCCCGAAGGATATCAAAAAAGACTTATGTCAGTATCAGTATCAAAAATTTGTATAGCGCCTCTCTTGACAGAGCTCAGAAGCGCTTTCTGGTGGGTACATTGCTGAAATAATGATGCTTTAACATTCTTTTGAATTGAGGCCTTTCAGTAACAGAACCATTCTTCAGCTGTACATGGAGTGAGTTCCAAACTTCACCGCAACCACTGCGAATCTTCGCTTTCCAAAATTTGTCAATCTGAATACCGGATTAATCAAATCCCCATGGTCTGATGACCTCAAATGACTGCGTCCCTGAACCCCCGACACCGGCTGTTCACTCAGATAAAGCGGACCATCGCCATTTAGGCAATCTCTGACTAACAGTGCAATTTTGAATTTAATCCTCACCGGAAACCGTAGCCAATGTAAATCATCCTGCCTGTATTTTGAGATGGAGTGAAATTTTGATACGCCGGGCCGGCCACTTAACACCGATTGAATGCAGTCTTGTAGAAACAAGTTAACTGCATACATGATTTAGTTTGAGTAATCAATTCTACTACAGACAAAACTGTGAACAAGTGTTTTTGTCGACTCCATTGAAAGGAAACGTCTGATAGTTCTAATTCGATAAAGTTAATAAAAAATTTTTCTGCATATATTTTTTACATGGGCCTCCATCGACAAACAAGAATCCAGCGCAACTCCAAGATCATTTACTGGCATCATAAATTCTTTGACGAGAGCCAGTCTTTGTGGGGTACTAAGCCAAATGTGTTGTGTTTTTTTGACATTCAATCCAAGTTTATTAGCTGACATCCATTGACCACCAGCGTCTATTGAGTTGTAATCTTTTGATGCATAAGATGTGATGATTTCGTGGAGCAGAAGCCGAAGCCATATAATTGTATATCACCTGCATACAAATGACATGGAGACCACTTTCTTCAACAACTTTAGTGTACAACACGTACAACAGCGGCCCAAAAAATGATCCCTGTGGAACCCCATGCGTAAAGTCTGATTCTGCGACATCTGAACCCCTGGCACCATCAATTACCGTTTGTCACCGTTCCTTCTTTGCTCTCACTAGGTACAGTTTGTCCTTAGGCATAAATAAGTAAAATAATTTATTGTTATTTAAATATATATTCATTTTTATTGAATATTAATGTTTTTAAAATCTTTTACAAACTATATATATATTTATTTAATCTTTTAAAAAGAAATGCAACACCATTCAACCGAAGCCAAAGGCCCCAAAAAACAGTTTTTAAAAATAATTTTTAGATGAAAAACAAGTTATTAAAAGAACGGTGAGCGAATCGTGTTATTCCAGCAATTCTTTATCGAGATTATATTCCATCTCTTGATCAAATTCAGATGTTTTAACAGTTATGATGGCAAAAATAATCTTTTCGCTAACGATATTCAACAATTGTTCTGGAATAACAAAAAGTGACACTTTAAACGAAAATTTCAATACACGGCTCTTGGAACTAAAAATGGCCAAAGCCAAAGGTCGAATTTTGCCCGAAGATTCGATCAGGTCGAACATTCTGGGTCTCTATTTTTTAACATGAACAAGCTATGATCAATTTAATATCACTTCCAACTTCAGTGTTCACTTTCGATCCAAAATTTTATTAAAATAGATTGTCTTCAAAATATTATAACCAAAACAAAAAAAAACTCTGCAGCCATGTAGCACTGATTTCCGTCCTGAAGATCCGGTGGCCTGTATTTGTAGATATCAAAACCGAAAGCAAATTTTAAAAATATTCTTTCGATTTAAATTTTAAATGATTATCAAAATATTAAAAATTTCAGAAAAAAATGAAACATTAAAAATGACATGTCAAATTATTTTGCTTACTATTGTCATCATTTATAAGTATGTAATTTGTGAAAACATTCACGCATACATACTAATGTACAATGCACATTTACAAAAAGTATGTGTGTACTGAGCAGTGATAAAATAATAATGCATGCAAGCAAACTGATAAAGTAACTTGCGCAAATGTAAAAATAGGAACAACATTACACTAAAATTGAACACTTATATAAAACACTGGTGATGAGTAAGAGCTTATAAGATGAGATTTTTTGTCATATCAGTAGGCACAATAAAAATGACAAATAATTATATGAACTAGACAAATTTTAAAAATATTTTCATGAAATTTTAATTTATTCAATAATCCAATTTATCATTAAAATATAAACTCATTCATTCATATACTCCATGAAACAAAAATTTATTGATCAATCCAGGGTAGAGCAGAACTTTTCAGAACATTTCAAATGATTGCAGCCACGCCACACCCGAGAGCAATAAATGTGAGAAACATGTCAGTGACTGCCAACCCGAACCCCCAACCCAGCACTCCAATGTTGCCCTCCTCCTTCCATAGAGGCTCCTTATTGTTAAAATATTCCTGGAATCGATCACCAAATGAGCAGACACATGTCAAGGTGAACAGTCCTGCAGGGCATCAAATGGTTAAATTGTTATCAGAAGAGTTGTGTGTTTGTTGTGTGCTATCATTTCATCTAATTAAAACACACAATTTGTGTTTTATTATAATATACCTACATACACTCATTTGCGTGATGTGCTGTGATGGTTCACGTGAAAAATTCAAAAAATGGGACTGATAATAATTCAAGATAGATAGATCCAGGTCTAATAAAAACAATTTTATGCTCTCTTCGCCGTATTACACTACATTTTCATTAAATTTTTTAAACAAACTTAATTCAAAACTGCTTAGCTTATATCATATTCGGTCCTACTACTGTGTATGTAGTATGTACCCGTTTCTTGTTAAATTCTACTATTCTTGTTAATAATATTTGCATTGATCGGGTTAACTCTATTAAATTTTTGGGTACTATAATTAATAATAAAACGAAAATTTCGTTTACTTTTAAAAATTAACTAATGATTTAATAAAAAGCAAGTTGACAATTGCAGAATTAACAATGAATTCATCATTATTTTTTTTTAAATTTTATTTGAACAAAGCACGTGCAACTGCCCATCAATGGCCACCTAAACAGAAATTGCATTAATGTACTACATGACGTGACATCTACGATTAGCTAAAAAATAATAACTAAACAAATTTTTATAAAGTTAGATAACTAAATTATTTTAATTAAGTCGTCTCTTATTGTTGCTGCACGCATAGTAATGATTGAATACTATGGTAACTTGTTTGCCAACTGTTTGTAGACGAAAATAGCCGTAAAGTAGACATTCATCCGATCAAAATTTAAATTTTTCGTTGACAAAAATAATGGCATCGTGTGCGATTGCTTTGTTGATAACGTAACTAGTTGTAATGCCCTCTTCGTTGTTAATCGGATCGGTGATCGTGCGATAGGTAGCAGCCCAGACTACGTTGCAGTAAGAGATGTACGTTGTAGAGTATATTCAACATTCTTCTTGGAACGTAAAATCGAACTTTGTTGATAACGCCAATTACTTTCACGATTTTCCCGATACGTAATTTACGTGGTTTTGGAAACTTAATTTCTGGTCAAGGTAGACACATAGAAATTTAACTGATTTGCTTTCGTTTATTTCTAGTCCATCAATTACAATCTTATTCTTTATAGTTCAAATTCTGAACTGGCTCCGTCTAGACTTTTCCAACGATGTTTGAAGCGGGACAACAACAACAACAACAACATCTGCTTCTCCAAAGTAACTGGATAGTTGGTATCGTCGAATTTGTATTCTGCCATCTAACAAACTGTTTCCCGTCAGTCAAGTAGCTACCAAGCCATCTCAAAGGTGTTCCACAAATCCCATAACATTCTAACTTTCCCATCAAAATGTTCATCTGAGATTAGTGATTTTTAAACATTTTTATCGTCGTTACTTTTATTTATTATTTTTAAAGTATTCAACCAAATTTTTTGTTGTTATTTTTCGTTTGTTGAAACAAGTCACTGAAGTTATTGTTTTTTTTAGCTTATTGTTGAGATCTGTGCATTTAAATTTCGTGTATCTTTTCATGGTTGAATTTTAAAGAAATTTTTATAATTTGGTTTGTTACGGAGAAAATTTATGGATTTTCTGCCACTTTTTAATAAACAACAACCATCGAAAAGTTTTTTTAAATATGTCATTGCATAACAAAACATCTGACCAATCGTTGACACATAAAGCTCCATTTAGTCTGTTCAGTCTACTTTTTGAAAATGAATAAATTTGTTAATTCTTTTCAGGTTTGGTTTTATTTTTGGAAGAGCTGATAGTGACGGTGATGGGAAGATAGTCTGATATATCATAAACGTGAACACCACGTAATGCTACCTGGTACGAAAAGTTAGTGAATATGCTGTCAATGATCGATTGCTTTTTAACACAGATTCTTGTTGGAAGCGTAATTAGCTGATTGAAACTGCAGCAGGCAAAAAGTTTACATAAGGGCATTTTGTTAACATCATAGCTCGTGTCGTCACATCGATGTTAAGATCACCTGTGAGAACTATATGTTTATTTTCTAAATCTATTTGCTGCAAAATATTTTCCAGTAGTTGGAGATAAAATTTTGCGTTGAAACTGAGTGGTCTGATGGCAATTAATCAATCTTCGTTTAGCATCCATAGACCTAGTTCCCCGAGGTAGGACTGTATGACACTACAATGACGAAATTTTTTGCTGAGGAGTCAATCGTTAACTCGATTGCAAGTTTCAAAATCTAAACCTCCCATCTTGTTTAAATCATCTCTCTCGTCTTGAAGATCATATTATTATAGAATTTAACTCCACCACCGTGTTTGCTCAATCGATTTTTGCCGATGAATTTGAAACCGTTCATACAAATCAAACCTTCCGTAATATCATTAAACCATGTTTCAGTGATGGCCACAATGTCAATGTGGGTTGTTAATTTCTCCGAATCTGGTAAGAGTGTAAGCCTAATAGACTAAAAATTATCCACTCGAGCTTCTTCAATTGATGATTCTCAGCATATTTATGATATTATTTAAAATTTTGATACTTCTTTTTCACAGGTAAATATATTCAGAAAAAAGTATGGCTAAGATGGCGTGTTGGTAAATGCTAAAGCCAGTCATATTATTCCATCTTGATTTATTTATATGCATGGTAAGATGGAGAAGACGACAGCCATTTAAAAGCAATTGAGTTCTGGCCAGTTTTCATTATTTGTAAATTTTGACAACCACGTTGTCACGATTTTTAAAATTAATTTTTTAACTTGAATAATTTTTATTATTATACTTTTCTTTGCAATTGTTTAATCTATAAATACTTTTAAAATGATATTTACACCCAAAACAATAATTTCTAACAGAATAGCATTTGTTCGACTTTTGGACAAAAACAACAGAAGTTTCTGGTTGGCTAACAAGTACAACACAAATTTTCGCATAACTATCAACCGATTTTTGGCAACAACAACAACAACAACAACAATCCTGTTACCCGTAATTCCAATGACAGCAAGTTGTACACCAATGAGCCTCATGTCGTCTTCCAGTCCAGATACGAACGCCACTATCAAACTGAGACCGAGAGCAGCAGGCAGTGTGAATAAGGAAATTATCATGAACGATTGAGCTGCTTTCAACCAGTCTACGGTCAGGATAACGATTGCGGTGTTTTTTTAAAAGGTTATGAAGCAGTAAACGACATTTTAAAATCATTTTAGCATGAAAATTAATGAGAATATGTTCAACATGCACAAATGAACTATGAATCTAGCTCCATTAAAGATACAGATAAAATAAAAGAGTCCTGACCTCCATATATGATGTCCACAAAATCATAGCATGTCTCGCCTCCACCGTAGGGGTATGTGCAGAACTTCCATAGTCCGATATGTTCTGCTCGGTCAGTTCTCGTCAGGTCAGCTGATGCCCAGTTCGGCGAGGCAATGGCAATTAAATGGAAGAGCATTGCAACAAATAAACAGGCTACTGTGGCCAATTTGAAAATATTGTGACCCTCTTTCTGTTGATTTCCTTTTACAACTCCCATAGTGTTGAAGATTATTTGTTAGTTTATTGAATTAATTTTAATTTCTGGTTTTGTTGATGATAACGACTTCAAATTACTCAACCAATGCTTTTTGTTGTATTCTCCAACAAATGCAAATGTATTTCAGCTTATATCTTTCACTTGTTTTTAGTTTTGTCTATCGTTACAGAATGGTTAAAAATAAAATAAAATTTAATTATAATAATTTTTTTAAAAATAAAATTCAGTTGAATTAATTTAACTAATAATATTTGATGAAACAAGAACATCCACTTCCTTATGTTAAAGTTATGCAAGTTTTTATTTAAAATAAATTTTAAAATTTTACCAGTCTAGCCTTAGAATCAAAATTTAAAAATAACATGAATGCTTGTTTTTAAGTCAAACAAACTTAAACTCCCAACAAAAAGATCGATATTATGTGAAAAAAATTTGACAGCCTGTGTCAACTAATAGTAATATACAAATTAACATATTTTAAAGAATTTAAACTTAATTCATTATAAGAAAAATACCAAAAAGCTACATAGATGAAGAAATATAAAATAAACTATAAGTTTTTGTGATTTTGAATCTTTTATTTGATAAATATATAAATACTTTTTATTACTATTAACAAATTAAAAAATCCAAATTGCAATTAAAAAATTAAACTTTAATTAACTCAAACTCCTTTAAAAGTTTAATTAATTATTAATTAAAAAAATTAGAGTTATTATTTACTATTTAGTAACTCAAAATTAATTGAATAATTTTTAAATAAATGAAATAATAGTCATTAAAAAGATTTATTTTTAATTATAACTATGAATGAAATGAAAATCACTTGTAGATGTTTACTTATTTTTACTGCCATGCAAAAATTTTCATCTTTTCATTCTTACTGTTACTTTAAATGAACTCAACTCCAACTTGAGAAAAGTAGTTTCAAATTCAATTCTAACTCGTAAAAAAGGTAATTAAAAAGTTTTATAGTAAATACAATATTGTTATGATTTCAAATCGTAATTGGCAACTGCTTCCCTAACCTTTACAAGCCATGAAATTACCTGAATGAGCGAACAGGTGAGGATGTTTGTTAAGCGTATAATTGTCATAATTTCTTTTTAATTTTAATATTAGTTTGTCTTTAATTACTTAAATTTGGGAAAAATTTTTAATTTGATTATTTTTTTTGAATTGTTAAAATAATAAAAAAGTAATACGCTAAACTATTTTGTCGTGAAACATAATAAACGGCCATTATTTATCTGTGTGAGAGTTCGTTCGTCGCATTTCATTTGTAAATAATTTTTGGTTTTTCAAATGATGTTCGAATGACTTTTGCTTGGATGAATCCGAATGATTAGGTATCAAATACTGTGTTTTTTTATTTTTAGTTGCAATTTCTTCATTAGCGCACGCTTTTCGAAATAAGCTAACTAATGAGTTTAGTTTTTTTTTAGCTTTTTTATTTAACCAACTTTAGTAAAGTTACTTTACTTTACACTTTATTTACCGTTTACCTTTACAGTTTACTTTAATAATTAAAGTTTAATTAAAAATGCTCAACAGCTTGAGTAAGTATTTCAGTGTATTGTATATATTAGCTATACAATACATACAGTATGGTACTACTAAATCTAAATATAAATCTAAGTCAAATCACTAACTAATGCTACTAAGGCCGCAAATCTTTTTATATCTTATTTTTTGTATTATATCTTAGAATACTATTTGTAGAGACTGGAATGGAGCTCTCCTCATGGAGCAATGATATGGGAAGTTGTCCAGAGAGTTAAAACTATAAATTGAATCTTCACACATTATTTGGTTAAATTTAACTAATGTACCTGGATTTTAAGTGGCTATTTCTCAGATCTCTTATTCAACAATCCAGCTGAAGTAACTGTTCCTGAAAAAATAAGTGGATTGACCTGACAGTAAATTACTGTGGGCTCCTCTATCTCTTTGACTTTTTTTGTTGTGGCAATGCAAATTTGATCAGATGTTGCCAGTGGTTCCAGTGTAAATTTGGGTGATGGTGTTTTTGTGCTATTTCTGAAGGTTTTAATCAATGACACTATGGTTTTGACAAACCCAGTTGAATGTTGTAGATGTTGCTTCAGAATCTGGATAATTTGAAAGAATAAAGCATAATAAAATTTAGGTCTGAGAAATCTTACAGTATTTCAATGTCAGAAGGAAAACTAGATGAATATGTTAAATTTTCTATTCTTGTTCAGATGATGCCAATGATAGCTCATGCTTTCAAAGCGAAAAGAACAACTTTTTAACTTTCGGAAAAGCTACCTAGATACTGCAGCTTATTGTAGATAAAGTTGATTTGTGTGGAAAATTAAAAGTTAAGTTAACTCGGTTTTATTAGTAAAAAAGCTGTTGTGGTCCTTGACAATTTATGAATTAGACATAAAATAAGTTAAAACATGGACGGAAAATCAACTGATACACTAGGGAGTGATTAGGTTTGCCATCTGTTTTGACATTAATTATCTTTTACAGTCAAATATTGACACTAAAGCTTTGTTCCAAATCGATAAAAGACAAGTTCAAGTTGCCAAATTAAGATGTCATTGGATACTTGATGCATTGGTCAGCTGCAGATCTGTACTGAAACCAACTAAAATTTAGAAAGCAAACAATGGAATGAAACTGGTGGAGTAATCATTAAAATTGAAAAAAAAAATTAGAAACTACATAGTATAAAGCATGATAACGATTGGCTTCTAAATCAATGGTGGTCAAAGGTTTCAGATAAAGTCAAGAGACAGTCATTGATGAAAAAGAATTTAGTATGATAGAGTAAAAATAGTTTTGTCTTTGCAACAAAGTCAGAAGGTTGTCATGGAATGAGTTAGTACAGATTATCAGTTGAAATGACATCATTGGACATAACTTCATTCTGTTTGGCTTTTATAAAAGGAGCTTTATATGTTCAGCAACAATGGAAAGCGTTCCCTGTGGGATGAGTAAGAGACATTGGCTCAGTTACTTTCGTCATGCAGGTCATCTTGGTCACGGATGATAAACCTGGAGGCACAACAGGGTGCTGGAATGATTAGTCTAATTCATTTGCTTCATTTGCTATATTCACTTTTTAGGAACATAAGAAGAAAAAACGTCATGAGGAGTAATACATTAGAACAAAAGCCAATGGTAGTACAACAATGCTGTTATAACTGACAGTGTCATACAAAGAGAACATGAGTGACAGCTATAGATACAAATTAAGCAAATATGATAACCTTATTAACTACATTGAGAAAGAGGCTTCAAAACCAGATTTTATGCTGTTGAAGTGGCTGACTCTGTCTAAAGACTTTACAAGATTTGTATGATCTCAAACAAGATATGTGCATTGTGTTTGAAAAGGCTTATTAAACTGTTGAACAGGTTTCACACTGGTCATGATCAAATGGAAATTAAAACAAGTGTTGTCTGGTTTATGGAAGTTGTAATACAACTAAAAAATGTTAACTGTGGATTGTTTTTTTTTTTAAAAGCATCAATAATTTTAAGTTAGATTAAACAGTGTGTCAGAAGTCCGAAGTTTGTCTGAGTTGGAGTTTTTTGACGTTCACTGTACAACTGAAAAAAGGCCTTTGTTACCAATTTGTTATTTGTCTGATTATTTGTTATATTATTCATTTTTAAGTGTTTAAAAATAAAAAATGTTGGTTTTGTTATTTAAGCTTAAAAATTGTTTTCAAATTTTCAAAGCTTTTTGGAAGTTTTTATATTACAACTACTTGGTTTAACTTGGCGAATATTAAACGTGCGAAAAAATATATTTCAAAATTTTAGTCATATGGTGCAAACATTACTTTTAAAAATCCCTTCAAAATTACAACCAAATTGTATTATACAAATTAAATTGCCACATTGTTTGTAATTTTGTTATTTTCCATGAAAGTTCTTTTCTAATATGAACATTGTGAGCATTTATTTTTTGATGGATTGTTGATTGATTGGTTGGTTGGTTGGTTGGTTGGTTGATTGGTTGATTGGTTGACAGTCAGTTAGTAGAATGTTTGGAGGTTGGCCGATGGGTTAGGTGATTGGTGTGGTGGTGGGTTAGTAAAAGCTGAAATTATTTCCATCATATGTAATCATTAATTTTTATAAAAATTTCATTTGCCAAATGATTCAGAAAAATGTTTTATGTAAATAAAAATTATGTAGATTATTAACTGAAAAAAATAAATTAAATTTTTTTTCATTTTCTACAGTTGGTGGGAAAGGAAAAAGGAAGATGACGAGGATGATAATGGTGGTTCAGTAATCTGCAAATGATCCTAATGAAAAACAGATTTCTCTGGGTATAAAAGTTTAATAGTTAAGTTAAACAAAGATAAAAGTGTTGATGTGATTTTTTAACAATAACTTTCTCTTACAGAATTCTCATCCTTATTCTTATTCATATTCCTTTGTTGGTGGAGTATATTTTTACTGAAGATGTAAAGTGTTAATAATAGTTTATGAATTAAAATTTGATTTTCAATCTGGTGCTTTTGGATAAATAGGCCATTTTTTTTTTAAATAATTTTGAGTTACTTTTAATAAACGACGTTGATGTAACATTTCAAACGTGTTCATAATTAAAATGTAATGTTGCATCGCTAAACATTTATTTAAAAGAATAGAATTAACATTTGTTTCTTTACGTGAAATACTTTATGTTTAATGCATTTCCTAATTTCATTTGCATTTCATTTCTTGCAAACTTAATTTAATTGACATGACTCCATAGCCATAGTCAAACAAAAACTAGGCTAAGGTTTCAGGGATCATATAATAATATAAATAACCATCGTGCTGTGTTTATATTATAATGACATAACAATATATGTTAGTAGTTATAATAATAATATAAACTAATAATAATAAAAAAAGAAAGACTAAAGAAGTTGATAATATAAATAAGAAATTTATCTTATGATACTGATAAGAAAAAGGAAGTTAATAAACTAGAAAATCTACACTATCTCCATGCACTGAGGAATGAAAACCAGATGGATGAATGTCAAGGTTGGCCTGTCTATTATATTACATTGCATATTGTTCTGCTTTGCTGTATCCTATCATATATATTTTTATATATTTTGTTGCATTGTGTTGTTTTATACTGTTTTACTGCATTACAAGGTTTGTTCTCAACATTCTGTTACCTCTCTCCATATCATAAATCATTGTTGAAAATTTTATATTTTTAAAAAATCTTATTAACTCTGCAGTGTTTCACACTTGTTATTGTCATTTTTCAAATCATTAAACTGATTTATTTATTTAAGGCTTTTATCAGAATTTTACTGGCTGAATTCTGTTGTTTTTCTAAATTCGACTGCAGCCAAAATCAGGCCAGATTTCAGATTTGAACCAGATTTTGGCTCCAGCGTTTGTATGTGCCCATGTGTGGAATAAAATCCAATTTTACATGCCTAATTCATTTTGCTTAATTGGGTCAGAAAGTGAAGAAGAAGCTGCTTCATCAGACTTCAAACTCTGCAGTCTCAATGAATCGTCTGCTAGCAAAAAGAATAGTCTTTTTTCTCTAATCTGACTCACTTATTTTAAATACTTTGTACCAAACTTTAAAAATTTATTTATATCAAAACTTATTTTTGTGCTACATTGTGCCACATTGTCTAGTTGTGTTTTATAGTGATCAAATGATATATAAAAAAGTGTAAAGTAGTATCAAAATTCGTTTGTGAAACGATGATCTGAATGAAGGAATGGAAAGAAATAATTATTTTAAATGAAAAAATTTATCATTGTGAAGTGTCAAACGCAATGAAATTAAACCATTCATTTAAACTTGGTTGTACATTCATTTAAATAATGAAGTCCGAGTTGTCAACGTTATACATTTGTACATTCATTTAAATCATGAAGTCCGAGTTGTCAACGTTATAAATTTATATTGTCAATATTAAAAACTCACAAACTAGTTAAAAATAATTGTGATTAGTCTTAAATAGTTGTAATTTATTATTTATGAAACTTTTATGATATGTTGGGATATTGTTTTTAATGCATAATAATGTTTCCAAAATTGTTGTGAGATCAATTTTTATGAAGAGCATTCACTCAAAAATTAGTTGCATTAGTTCCCACCTTTGCATGAAGCTGTTGGTTCTGCAAAAACTTTTTGATGTTTTGCAGAGTGTTTTACAGAGGCGTCATTTGGGGGGAGGCAGGGGGGGCAATTGCCCCCCCAAAGAAAAAATATAAAATATTAAAATTATAAATTATAAAAGTGTTAATTTTAAATTCTTTGTAAAAAGGATATATATAGGATATATAATTTAGTAATTTTAAAACTTTAAAAATTTTGAAATTTTAAAAACTTAAAAATGTAAAATATATTATAATGTTGCACTGACGAGACTAGGTAGTCGAAATAGTACTATATGCATACATGTAGATAATGACATCTTCTGTAAATAGGAATTTTGTTAATAGCATTAACAAGTTAAGCTTGGTAGATCGGAGAATTATTCGAAGAATCGGGAAACTATCATATAGATTGAGTACTGTAAGAAACGCCGTGATCTTTATTAATAATATAGACCACATAAGTTCGCCCCCCCAACCAAAATCTGAAATGACGCCCCTGGTGTTTTATGCGTATGTGTATATATATATATATATAATATATATATATATATATATATATATATATATATATATATATATATATATATGTCAAAAAGCCCTTGCTGTGTTTTACTAGATTAAAGTAATTGCTTTTGCCTATATTTTTTTCTCTTTTTTAGAACTGTCAAATGGACTGTCAAGTCGAAAAAATGTATTTTTGAAGGCTCTTTTTTCCTTTAATCAAAAACCTTTTGTCTTTAATCAAGACCAAAAAGCGAGTGAAGCTACCAGAGATATTTGGGCTGTGTATGGAGAGGACACCATAGTTCTGGATTAGTTTTCCAGGTTTGAACATGATAATTTTGCTCCTTGTTTTGGGCAAAGACCAACTCGGAAATCTATTAAAGGAAGATGACCGCAAAATAAGCAGAGAATTGGGCAAAGAGATGAAATGTAATTTTTTTGACAATTTCACACCACCTTCATTTTTGGGTTTCATTCAGTTGAAAGCTTGTGTACCACATGATCTCGCAAAAAAAAGAGATAAATAGCTTTACATATGCTGCTCTAAACCTCACTTGACACCAAGGGACCCATAGCCACAATCAACGGGCTTGACTTGAATCTGGTAAACCAATCCAGAGCAATTTACTAGCTATAGTATCATTTCCAAATGAGGTAGCTTCACTCACTTTTTGACCATGATTAAATCTGAAAAGACGGAAGTGTTGAAAATGCAAATTTTTTGTTCACCTGACTATCGATTTTGCTGTTCTAAAAAAGACAAAACATAATATAGGCAAAAAATTACCGCAATCTTGTAAAGCAGAGCATCTTCTTTCTGTTGCTTTATAACACTCCATTAAACATCACAAAGTTTTTGTAGATTAAATAGTGTTTCATTTAGTGGTGAGACCTATAGCCACAATTATTTTAGTTAATGGTATTAATCTTGTCAAAGAGCAACAAATTCCATAATTATTGCTTGAACAGATACAACAAGAGTAGACAGTCAGCAACAACATTCAAGCAACAGCAGCAATGTTGTAGATATTAAAAACAACAGTGATGATGACAGCAATAACGACAGCAGTCTACAATGTGTTGTCTCAACAACATTTTCAACACCTGGGGTGTCATCATCATCGTTAGTCATGTCATCATCACCACCATTATTAGCATTGACTTGTAACACAAGCCAAAAAGTTTCTGGACAGCAACACAAATCTCTGTCTTATTCAACTATAAAATGTTCAATATGTTCAAAAACATTCAACAACTCGAGTGCTTTGGCCAAACACAAGTTGATACACAGCAATGAAAGGAGGTACACATGCCAGCAGTGTTCAAAGTCATTCAAAAGACAGGATCATCTGTTTGTCTCCATTCACTTTTTTACCCTTTCATATTTTTATAACTCCATAATAATGACTCAATTGATTTTTTTAATGCATGCTTCTTTGTCATAAAGTTTTTAACAATTTTCCAATAGTTTTTATATAAAAGAGTAAGAATATAATGCATGTAATTTTTTGTCTTTACCAGGAATGGTCACATGATGACACATGCAGAAAAGAAGCCTCATACCTGTAAATTTCCAAACTGCGACAAGAGTTATTGTGACGCTCGTTCACTGCGACGTCATTACGACAACTTTCACAAATTGCTACATCATCAACAACAACTGATGAACAAAAATGCAAACCTATGCAATGTTCTTCAACAGGAATCTTCCATTTTGACTCCTGGACTGACACCCAGATCAGCTGGCATCATGAATAGCAACAAAAGCAATAATGCAAATGTATCAGGCAACGAATCCGTCTTCAACTTTGAAAATATTAATGTTAATGATGAAACTATTGGTACTATCAACTTCAACAGCAACATCAGCTTCGCTAGCCACTGTAATATTAGTAATACAAATGATGATTTTTGTAATAAGACAGATAATAACATTGCTGGCAGTAGCTGTGTTAATGCTGCTTATGCTGGAGACAATCCTTCCGGCCTTCCTGCAACATCTCTGGCTTCTTCTCTTATGCAAATGAGTCCAGTTAGTCCATTAACTGGCAACAACAGCAGCAACATTAACAGTGCTACTCAACAGCTGCAACAAAACAGCATAATTTCTGATTTTAATCCATTCAAGTAAGATTTTATTGATTTCAATACGGCCTATTAATGTCAACGAATTTTTTATATTTCATTTGATTAAATTAAACTTTAACAGTACTTACATTGCACTTGCTTTCATATGTATTTCTCTGTCGTTTTGAAGATTTTAATTTTGTAAAAGCTCATTGTTAAGCTGTGAGATATGAATCAATAAATTGAAGAGCAGCTGTTAGGTTTCATAAACATTCAACATCGTTTGTTATTCAATTTCTTCATTCTACAACATATACCCTGAAATCAAAAAATTTACAACTCAACTTGTGATGTGTCCAAAAAGGCTGATTACAATTTTTCTGTATTTCATACTTTGCTATTGATAGTTGTAAAAATTTGTAATTATAATAATTGTAAAAAATATTCAATTAGGTTATTCAATTACTTTCATTCCTATCCCGGATAACTTTATCATTCTCTCTATTACTTCCCTTATCGTTTTTGTTGCAAGGAACATGTGAATGCCATTAATTTTTTTACAATAACATGTTCATTTTCCAAGTCAGCAAAATGTAAATTGTTGTCCACCAAATATAACGTTACCGTTATTATTATTATTATTGTTGTTGTTGTTATGCAGTGAGTACAAGCCTGTGAAGTGCAAGCAATGTGACAAGTGCTTTAAGAACATGCCAGCACTCAACGGCCACATGAGACTGCATGGGGGTTTCATTAAAAAGGTTTTCAATTATTAACATTGAAAAATTGAAAAACTCAATTGCTAATAGAATATTGCCAGCAATGTTGTGATGTTTTTAAACAACTGCACACACACACACACACACACACACATATATATATATCTTTATATATATATATATATATATATCTTTATATATATATATCTTTATATATATATATCTTTATATATATATATATATATATATATATATATATATGTTGGTAATAGACCATAATTTTTACAATATTCTATAAATTCTACCAAATGTTTGGCGTTAATATGTTTGTAGTTCGTTTTTTCGAATTTTATTTGTAAAAATATATATATATATTGGATTAAGAATATCAAAAATGCATTTATTGATGAAAATCACAGCACGTTTGGCATTAGTTAACTTACTGTTTAACTTTTCGATTTTTCTAACAGTTGATCATAAATCATTCTCAAGCTTCTTGAGTTCAAAACCAAATTTTAGATCTAATTAAATGAGAATTAAGTATTCACTTTGAACAAACAAGGAATCAACAAAGTAGAGTAGAGACACAGCATATATATTTGAGCATCTGGCCACATAAACAACGTATCAATTCGAACACCGAAGATGATATAGGAATACCAAAAAAAGCTTTTTTGTTCTATCATGCATAAAATAAACAAAAATTTTGCTCCTTGAGAATGGTTTACGATCAACCGTTTGAAAAATCGAAAAGTTAAACAGGAAGTTAACTAACGCCGAATACGCTGTAATTTTCATCAATAATTGCACACACACACACACATATATATATATATATATATATATATATATATATATATATATATATATTATTTATATATTAGGGTGTCCCTTAAAAATATTAAAAAAAAAATTTTTTTAACTTTTTAACCCTGAGCCTCTCAAAAGTAACCATTTGGTCTAAAAAAATTTCTCTTGAAATTTCATGGAAATATTTTTATGTCTATTGGTTAAATTATTATTATTATTGGTGTGTTTGTGAGTGCCCTTTAAAAAGATCTCAGAGGTGATAACGATTATTGCAGTATATTGTGTAGCACTTTCTTAAAGCAGTTCAGTGAATGGAGAGAAAAAGCATTAGCACAGGTAAGCTTGGACAAAAAGCCTTTTACGAAATTGAATTACAGACAGCGCAGGATCACGAAGGTTCCTAGGCAAACCATTCCAGACAGCAGGACCCATTAAGGAGAAATTCCTTCGACCAAGAGCCATGTTTGTGTCAGGTAAAAACAGTAACCAGAATTGTCAGAGTGCAATGTTTGATTCAGCAATGGTTTTGTTCTAGAAATGGCTCCGTCAGTTAAATATTTAGGAGCAACTCCCTTAATACATTTAAAAACCGTTAAACATATTTTGGAAATAAATCTTTGATAAACCGGAAGCCAGTGAAGAGCAAAAAGGGTGATCGTATTTAAGGCCACCTGTAACCAACCTTGCAGTCCAAAAAATATATATGTATATATGTGGTATTTTCAATGAAAATGTTAGCACATTAAAGAAACTTAAATAATATCTGTTTTTAAAGCGTTCTAAAGCAGTATTTCCCAAACGTATTTGTGCCTTGCTCTCCAAACCCGGTAGAAAATTTTTGTCCCATAAATGCTATTTAAAATATGTATCTTATTTTTAACATAAAAATAGCATCGTACTCTGGTAAAACCTAATTTACCGGTTTTCAGTTTCATTTATCAAGAAAACACATTTGAGAGGAAAAACTATGTTGGTTATTAGTTTCTATTGGACCACTAAACGTCTGTTTATTAATTTTAAGTTTCAGTAAACTGTTATTTTTAAATCATGTATCAGTATATTTTGAATAGCCACATTTAAGAGTAAAATTGTCCAGACACGTTGGGGAACGCTGCTCTAGTGTGTCACTGTGTGATTGCGTGGTTATGATTTTTAATATTTTTATAACAAATTCATAGGCATTCACTCAATTATTAATAACTATTTTAAATCATTTCCAAACAACTAGTCTGAAACTGGTGATCAAGCGATGAATGTTGAAGTTAGAAAAACTATACAGAAGCAACAACAAAAGTATCAAAAATCTGATTTGCATTCTCGTCAACATCAGAAGCAGACAGCAAAACCAGAGTCACCACAGCAACAACATCAACAAATTAATCTGCCGCAAGATATTAATCAGCAGCAAAATCCTGATGCATCTCTTTCTGAGGATTCATTTAAGCACCTTCCACATATTCTTCACAAGCCTTCAGCAACAGACATTTCCGTGCAACAAAACCTTATGCAACTCAAACATGAATCACAATGTGAACTGCAACATGAACAATTACAACCAAAACAACAGCTTAAGTCAGAACTTCAACAAATAAATCAACACTGTCACGAACAACAGATGAAGAAATTGGAGCAAGGTAATTCGAGCATTGAACAGCAGCATTCAAAACACTTGCAGCCATGCATGCCAATGGTGTGTGCTCAACAATTGAACGTGGTTGGTTACCAACAAAATATGAAAAATAATGTTTTTCTTCTTGGTAACGATGAAGATGATGATGATGAGGTTAATGATGAGGCTAATCAAAGAGATGTCAAGGACATCGATTACATCATTAACAAGAATACAGATGATCACATGCATACTAACGATATTCAATACCATCATTCTGTCGAGTGTGCTGATAACAAATCAATAATTAAAGACATTGTTGATGTAAATATTTTTAAGGGTAATGATGATATCACCAGTAAAGACAATAACAATAACAATTATTTAAAAATTAATGATAATATTTTTATGAAAGTTAGTAATGATGATAGCAGTGATGCAGGTGCTGAAGATAGAAATAACAGATGCAGTAGCATTAGTTACACGGAATTTCATAACAACATCAACGAGGTACGTTGTGATGTTGCTAATGCCTTGTCTGATGCAAGTACAACATTGCAACAAATCGACCAATTTCGTCCACCTCCAATTCACTTTCATGATCATTTTCAACAGCGAGACATCAATGCTTCCAGCAAACAATCTAGGAGATCACATGAAGCAATTATCGACATCAGCAATGAGCATATGATGGGTCCTTTGAATGCTTTGCAAATTTGTGAAGGTAAGTACAGAAGCAATAGTTTAGTTGACGTTGTGCAAGCTACTGGTCTGTTGAACTCATTTGTTCCTCCAGCAAAAAGTTTGATTTCTGATGTAGATGATAACGAGGATGATAATATTCAAGTAGATGATTGTGATATTGCATTGATTGATGATGATAAAGCCATCGACTTGATAATGAGTCTGGAAGAGGAGAGTCAGCAGAAAAAGCATGGACATCAACAAAGCCGGCTTAACATTGATAACGATGTTAATTCTGAAGTTGTTACCAACTTTATTTATGCAAGTAACATAAAAGAATACATTGATGACACCAACAATTTTAACACCGGCGCTACTACAAATTACTGCCCAATGTTTTCAGCTGAACACGCACAAAATCGGGGACAGCATCAGCAAGTACTTGTCCATCAAACTTTTGCACATAACACACGCAGCCAGCAATTTCAACAAAAAAATAGCATGGAATTTATTTCATTGGATTTGTTTAACGACAGTAGTGGCAATAGAAATTTAGTGACAGGTGATCATATGTTGTCTGATAATAATGTCACAATAAGCGGTGCTGCTATAAAACAGAAACACTCAGCAGACCATGATAGTTATTTGCAACAACAGCATATATCATCTTACAGCTCCGTGAATCCACATGAGGGAGAGAATTTACATAATTTTCGATCACAAGAACCAATGACACCAAGTCTTGTTTTCAAAGAAAAATGTTCCTTAAATCATAACTACCAGAATAATAAAGATGGTTCTGATAATGATGGCAAGAGTGATGAAGACTCCAATTGCAGGATTGTGAATCAAACAGTTTTTACATTTCCTCCAATTCTACTTTCAGAATCATCGTCATCTTCATTACCATCTTCAGCATCATTTCCATTCATTCCATCACTAACTTCTGATAAAACAATAAGTTATCATGCTGCCATACCTAATAATTCTTCATCATTTTATTCTAATTCTTCCACATCATTGTTAAACGATTCGTTGTTTCCAGATCATTATGCATCACCATTCTTAGCAAAATCTTCATTAACAAATCCAGCTTTTTCTTCTGGCCAACCTCCACCTCCGTCATCATCATTGCATGAAACGTCCATGCCACCATTAATATCAACAACAGCAACATCTTTACCTTTACTCATTGAGTCCTTACAACCCAACATTTATATTTCTGGACTAATATCGTCATCAGCAACAACACCACAAACAACAATATCATCATCATTAAAACTCTCACCATCATTATCGGGATATCATTTGTTGCAGCCACAAATGTGCCGGAGCCAGAAATATGAGCAACGAGTATATTTGGAGCGCAAGGAAGCTAATGAAGAAATTAGTAACCTGCTGGTGAAAATGAAGGAAAACGATGGCAAGATAGTCATTAAGCCGCCATCATTTGTCGAGGATGAATGCTATAACGCCCAGAATATTGTCCATTCAAATGGCGAGTGCGATTTCAAAAACAGCGATAGCATTGATTGTTTTATAGTGGAAGAGCCAAATAAAACAAATCATTGCCAAGTGATATTATCTAACGATAACGGTGATCAGATGATATTAATAAATGATGACAGTAATCAATTGTTATTTTCTAATGATAACAACAACGATGGAATGCTGATGCTACCAGGCGGTCATGAACATTTCATCATAAACAACTCAAACTACATCTTGAATGCTAATGATAACGTTGACAGACATAATATTAATACTTTCAAAATTGGCAATGCTGTCCAACAAAATGATGGTAATAAAAGTAACAGTTCCGCCAACGATTGCAACATCTTGCTGCATTTGGTACGGGATTTGAATCAAAAACATCATCCTTCCATGAGTGATGAAGTGGCACTCAATCAGTCGTGTGATAAGACAGATCCTTCTCTTCATGGACTCTGTGGAGTTTTTGTTTTAGAACAGAAACAACAACAAGTTCTACAAAAACTTCAAGATACATCTATGTTGCAACGGCAGCAGCATTTTGTGCAACAGCAACAACTACCATCTAAACAACCTTATCAGCAGCACCAGAAAAAGAGCGATATCAATGTTTATCAACAATTACATCAAATGCAACAGCAACATTTATTGCCAAAAGAATTACAACAATTTGTCCTGTTGCAGTCTATAAGTCCAAATCATTCTAGCAGTCACAGTTGTATAGGTTCAGCAATTGAACTGTGCACACCTCAGCTGTCGTCATCATCACAACTCTCTCAGTCTACATTATACTCTCAGCAGTTAACACCATCACCTCAACAGCAACAACAACAACAGCAGCAGCAACAACAACAACAGATTCTTATAGGTTATTGTGATGACAAAAACAACATTATTATAACTTCGAGTTCTTTAAAGATGGCAACAGATTCCAGCACAACAAACTACAACAACAACAAAAATATTAACTGCGATATTAGCAACAGTAGTGACACTGTCCAACATCATGACAATCGTCCTAAACGCAAAATTAAACCACAGCCACTTATCATACCTCAAAGTGCCAATAACTATATTTGCAACAGCAGTGGTAACAACATAACAGTTGGGACTAAACGACCACCCTCCCCGACTAGGAATGCCATTCATGCCCGGCGCCCTAAACAGTCACATATCTTGATTCCATCTACACCACCAGCACAACATTTTACTGGCAGTCAATTTTCATTTAGTAATGATTTTTTCCATGTTGATTCCCGCCCACCTCAGTCTGCTCCGCCGTACCATCTCAATAACAGACCAAGTAATTTTGTTTACTTTGTGTGTGTGTATGTGTGTGCGTGTGGTGTTGGAAGGAGACCATATTGCAGACATATGTTGGCATTGATCAATGCTAGAGATTAAGTAAAAACCAACCGAATCCACGAATATCAATTAAAGTTGAGTTTTAAAAAACAATATAATTGAATATTTTCAACTACAAATTGAAAAGAAAAATTTTATAAACTTTTTTGTATCATGTTCCTTTTTCAACAAATGTTTGTAACTGCAGCTAGATCAAACATCTCTATTTTCTAATTATAAAACAATGCTGGTTCAATCATAAAGTGGCAAACTGTTGATTGTTCTCGGTGTTCTAAGGAATAATGGAACTTATTTTGAAATAAATAACCTATGAGCGCGCATGCACCTGGGATCCGAATTCGAATTTGTACCAGTCCACAACTTGGATTCGGATCCGGGTATCACGAATCTTGATTTTTTGGATCTGTCCCATTCCTAGTATTTTTTACAAGATTATAAACCTACTTTTATTTGGCCCTAAACATAGCTTGTTGGGCGGTCAACAAAATACAAATATAAATAAACTAGGTAAGTTCTGAATCTGAAATAATCAAAAAATATATAAAATACACGAATTTTCAAGTAAGCCAAGGCATCAAAGGTCACAAAGAAAATCAAACAGAAATTTAAACTTGTAAATGCCAAAAAAGTAGTAATAAATAAATGAATAAATAAATGTGTAAATAGATGAGTAAGTAGACAAATCAATGGAAAATTAAAAACAAATGAATAATAAAAAAGATAATAAATAAATTAAAAAATTAAGTAAATAAATCTAAGAATAAAAGTACCTTAGACGAACATAATGTTATTAAAAATTAGAGAAACTATTTAATTGAATTAAATTAACGGATTTTTTAAAATGATATAAGCTTGAAGAATTTTTAACGTTAGAATGCTAACTAGACCAAAATTTAACTCTATAAACAAAAATTGAGTTCGAAAATAATGAAAAATGGAATATAAAAATCAGGAATATGTCTGGCTAGTTTTTTCAATAAATTGTCGATTTTGTCAAGTATTTATAAAAATAATTAAAATCATTTGAATTAATCATATTATAAAGAAAAAATTTTGTCTACATATAAATGATGAATTGATAACAGTTTCAATATTCTAAAAGGAATTAAAAACATGAGAATGGATAAATAAAAGTTATTTGACATTTGTTGAGTGTATTAATATGCTACTTAATGTTAATGGCTCACATTAATACAGTAAATGAATGATAAATTAAATTAAAGTTGGTTAAAGACACGATAAATTAAAGACACGATAAATTAAAGTGTAATATAAATTCATGATATTTTTATCTGGAAAAAATATTAAATTGTTTTAAAACACATAAACCTAAAGAAATTTTTGTAAAATTTTCCAACTTAAATTTTCGGATAAGCACAACCACTTTCAAAAATATGAAGACGAAATTCTGAGAATATATTCTCCATTGATAACAATTTCATAAGATTGGTGACAATTCTAGGGCCAAAATGGATACGTTTTGTTTTTAAAACATTAATTTGTTAACAATTTGCTATCATTCAATCCGACACTATTAAATCTGACAGAGGTTTCCCATTTAGTAAAATAGTGGTATCGTCTGCATGCAGCATAAATTTTGACATGGTCAATAATGATGTTAAATCATTGATAAATATATTAAATAACAATGGTTCCAGAATTGAATTTTACTTGATCTACAACTTTCTTGAGAAACATACTGAAACAAACCATTTAAATAGCTGACAAACGAGCTACACAATACACCTTTATCTCCTGCGTTCAATAGTTTTTTCAATAAATGGTCAATGTAAAAATCAAAAGTCATAGCAATGTCAATAAAAACACCTTTTGTATGACATTAGAATCTATCTATCTTCTCTAAAATATGTTTGTTCAAATCTAAATTTCTAAAACAGCAAGGTCAATTGTGCTGTTAGTGCGAAAACCATATTGATTATTGCTTATAAAATCGTTCTTGTTTAAAAAAAACTTGACAAACATGTGTGATATTTAATAATAAACGATATTTTCTTTCCCATTTCAGTGCCTTTTTCGATTGAAAATGCAGAAAATGTTCTTGGTGACTATCTTGCTGAGGAAACGCCATAACTGAAAAAACAGTTTCAGTGCAGCAACTTCAGCATCTCTTCAGCCAACACTTACAAGCAGCACTCCAACCCAGCATTCAATGTTGAATGTACACCACTAATAGTCCACCACGACAGATGTTGCGCTTTTGTAGCCATCTTCATACAGTCATCACCAATCATATGCAACATTATATCATCGCCAGCAGTTTAATAATTAATAATCATCATCACCACTAACCTCATTTGCAGCCAATCACACCACTGCATTCAAACACAACTGAAAGATTAATCTATCATTTCTGGCAGCATAATAACTTATGGTTAATTTAAATTAAAGCATGGTTATGTGTTATAATTTATTT